CAGGAACCATACATAGTTTTAAGACGAGGCTTGATAAAGCTCATGGAGCAGGGAGAGAGAGGACCCAGTAGCAACCAGTGAAGAGGCGGGGACAGGAGCTAAGACTCGGCCCTTGCAACCACAAATAGGTGAGTACAAATAGGTGAGTACACACACACACACACATACACACACCCACACCCACACACACACACACACACACACTCACACACACACACACACACACACACACACACACCCCACCCACACCCACCCACACACACCCACCACACACACACACACACACACACACCACACACACACACACACACACACACACACACACACACACACACACACACACACACACACACACACACACACACACACACACACACACACACAGCCCCCACACACACTACCAACAGCACCCCAGGGAGCCATCGTCTCCCACCATTGGTAAATCGTCCAACTTGCATGCCAGCTCAGCTGGACCAGTGACAAGAATAACTTCATAGCGAGTCAGGTGAACACAATTCCCTCTTTTATAGATCCGAGGAAGGCAACTTCCGCCTCTTCTATGCTAAATCACTTCCATATATTTTTACTGTTTTCCTTACATACAATTCCTTACAAAATATTCTTAGGAGTTAATGGAGGGATGCAGTCTGTCTGCTACACGAGGGTCATTAAGCCTGCACGTCACCTGTTCACTACCTTGCAAGAGTATTTTAATACACAAAGGTGTATATATACAATGAGTAACATACATCTAACGGAGTATAAGCACTGAGACATATCTCACAGTGTATAGACACTGAGAGACATCTACCTGTGTAGAGTATATACACTGAGAGATACATGTCTCGCTGTATAGATACATTGGGACACACACTTAGTGGCCACTATATTAGGTGCACCTGTGCACCTGATTGTTAATGTAAATATCTAATCAGCGGATATATGACTGCAGTGTATATGACTGCACCTCACTGCATAAAAGCCTGCAGACCTGGTCAAGAATTTCAGTTGTTGTTCAGAGTGAACATCAGACTGGGGAAGAAATGTAAGCTAAGTGACTGTGAACGTGGAATGACTGATGGTGCCAGACAGACGGGAAGGTTTGAGTATCTCAGAAACTGGTGATCTCCTGGGAGTTTCACACACATGTCTCTAGAGTTTACAAAGGATGACGTGGAAAAAACACAAAACATCTAGTGAGTAGCAGTTGTGTGGGTGAAAACACCTTATTAATGAGAGAGGTCAGTGAAGAATGGCCAGACTGGTTCAAGTTGACAGGAATTTGACAGTAACTCAAATAACCACACATTACAACAGTGGTATGCAAAAGAGCAGTGTTTCTGGTATCTTCTGGTAAGATTTTGAAAAGTCTGGGGCCACGGACGTTGGTACAATGTTCCCTTATTGTTCTTAATACACCCAAGCTTTTCACTGGGTTTATTTTGCACTTCCTCCAGTCGAATCTTTAAGTGGATGGGTTACAGCAGCAGAAGATTTTACCGGGTTCCACTCCAGTCAGCTAAGGACAGGAAATCGTGACTACAGTGGGCACAAGCTGAGCAAAGGACACTTGAAAATTGAAAAAAAGTTAGCATGTTCCGGCAAATTTCGAGTTTTGCTGTGCCATGCAGATGGTAGTATATTAAAATTTGTTGTCAACCTTCGTGATGTGGTGAAACGAGAGATTCACGGACGAGTGTGCAGCTGACAACTTCACAGTAACTGCGCGATGTTATCACAAATAATGAAAAAAGGCACAATACCGTGACTGGAACGATACACAAATAACCCGCACATAAAAGAGAGAAGCTTACGACGACGTTTCGGTCCGACTTGGACCATTTACAAAGTCACAGTGTGACTTTGTAAATGGTCCAAGTCGGACCGAGACGTCGTCGTAAGCTTCTCTCTTTTATGTGCGATGTTATCATGTCAACATGAACCATGTCCTTAAGGAATGTTTCCAGCACCTTGTTGAATCCATACTACGAAGAATTAAGATTGTTTTGGGGGCAAAGGGAGGCCCTTTCCAGGGCTAGAAGTCTGTATTTAATAAAGTGGCAGCTGTGTATACATGCTTCACTGCGTATATAATGCACTGAGAGACCTCGCGGTGCATATACGATGGTATTAATGTGAAATTCTTAAGCCTTATTGTAACGTTGTTCTACGCCACTTGCAGGGGTCAACACCCCCTGCCCCCGATTGCTGGCCTGATCGACTAGGCTGTTAGTGTTGGCTTCGCAGAGTCCAGCGTATGTACCACACATCAGCTTATGAAAGATTGGATACAGGAAATTATCACGTTTCCTCCTGAGAACAGCCAGAGATCTGTTGGTACTCCACCTTATGCGCGAAGGGAAGGCAATGATGAGTCCTGGTCCTCTTACACTTAATGTGACAGAAGAATTACAAGGAAGGGAAAAGTAAGTCAACTTCCTTGGAATAAGAGCTCTTCACCGACTTCCCGAGGAGCCGCAGACAATAAAAAGGATGGTCTGCCAGAGCGTGGCAGACCATCACACTGACTGACGGCAGGTTATTGGAAAAAGGTCTCGCCGACAGGACCAGGTCCCTGGAGACCACCTCGATCCCTCAGCCAAACTTAACTGCCAATTTGGTGGGCGTTACTGGCGTTTACTGGCCCACGGTAGTTAGTGGGGGCGGGTTGTTACATTAGTGGGGAGGATTATGTAGTGGGAAGAGTTATGTAGTGGGTAGGATTGTTATGTAGTGGGAATGGTTGTTTTGTAGTGGGTAGGGTTGTTATGTAGTGGGTAGGGTTATGTAGTGGGTAGGGTTATGTAGTGGGTAGGGTTGTTATGTAGTGGGAATGGTTGTTGTGTAGTGGTGAGTGTTGTTACAGTAGCGGTAGTATTGTTACAGTAGTGGAGAGTGTTACAGTAGTGGTGAGTGTTGTTACAGTAGCGGTGAGTGTTGTTACAGTAGTGGTGAGTGTTGTTACAGAAGTGGTGAGTGTTGTTACAGTAGCGGTGAGTGTTGTTACAGTAGTGGTGAGTGTTGTTACAGTAGTGGTGAGTGTTGTTACAGTAGTGGTGAGTGTTGTTACAGTAGTGATGAGTGTTGTTACAGTAGTGGTGAGTGTTGTTACAGTAGTGGTGAGTGTTGTTACAGTAGTGATGAGTGTTGTTACAGTAGTGGTGAGTGTTGTTACAGTAGTGGTGAGTGTTGTTACAGTAGTGATGAGTGTTGTTACAGTAGTGGTGAGTGTTGTTACAGTAGTGGTGAGTGTTGTTACAGTAGTGGTGAGTGTTGTTACAGTAGTGGTGAGTGTTGTTACAGTAGTGATGAGTGTTGTTACAGTAGTGGTGAGTGTTGTTACAGTAGTGGTGAGTGTTGTTACAGTAGTGGTGAGTGTTGTTACAGTAGTGATGAGTGTTGTTACAGTAGTGGTGAGTGTTGTTACAGTAGTGGTGAGTGTTGTTACAGTAGTGGTGAGTGTTGTTACAGTAGTGGTGAGTGTTGTTACAGTAGTGATGAGTGTTGTTACAGTAGTGGTGAGTGTTGTTACAGTAGTGGTGAGTGTTGTTACAGTAGTGGTGAGTGTTGTTACAGTAGTGGTGAGTGTTGTTACAGTAGTGGTGAGTGTTGTTACAGTAGTGGTGAGTGTTGTTACAGTAGTGGTGAGTGTTGTTACAGTAGTGATGAGTGTTGTTACAGTAGTGGTGAGTGTTGTTACAGTAGTGGTGAGTGTTGTTACAGTAGTGATGAGTGTTGTTACAGCAGTGGTGAGTGTTGTTACAGTAGTGGTGAGTGTTGTTACAGTAGTGGTGAGTGTTGTTACAGTAGTGGTGAGTGTTGTTACAGTAGTGATGAGTGTTGTTACAGTAGTGGTGAGTGTTGTTACAGTAGTGGTGAGTGTTGTTACAGTAGTGGTGAGTGTTGTTACAGTAGTGGTGAGTGTTGTTACAGTAGTGGTGAGTGTTGTTACAGTAGTGGTGAGTGTTGCTACAGTAGTGGTGAGTGTTGTTACAGTAGCGGTGAGTGTTGTTACAGTAGTGGTGAGTGTTGTTACAGTAGTGGTGAGTGTTGCTACATGGTGTTCAGGTATATCTCTCAGTATACATAAACCCGGAAGTATATTATTCATTGCATATACACTGCAGTGTGTTTAATACAGTGTATATACACTGCAAGTGTTTATTATAGTGAATATACACTGCAGTGTGTTTATTGCAGTGTATATACACTGCAGTGTGTTTATTACAGTGAATATGCACTTACAGGTATATATCTCGGCGCATATATATTCCAAATACGTCAACCATTAAGCGCCTTTCGAGATATCAATGTACCAAAGCATGAAAAAAGGCTGTACATTTTAGACCTCTAACTGAGGTCCTCTTCAATAGATACCGTTAAAAATTTCCTCGTCTACATTTCATGTTTCAGGTATAGTACTCAGTATACTACCGTTCCCAGTATATAGTGGTTATTACACTACAGTCCCCTATAACATAGAAAGTGCCCTCCTCTATGACACGAAAAGTACTCTCCTCTAAAACTCAGAAAGTGCCCTTTGTAGCACAGAAAGTGACCTTTATAACACAGAAAGTGACCTTTATAATACAGAAAGTGCCCCTTGTAAGACAGAAAGTGACCTTTTATAACACAGAAAGCGCCCTTTATAACACAGAAAGTGCCCTCCTCTATAACGCAGAAAGTATTCTCCTCCAAAACTCAGAAAGTGCCCTTTATAACACAGAAAGGGACCTTTACAACACAGGAAGCCTCTTCATAACACAAAAAGTGCCATATACAACTCAGAAAGTGCCTTTACAATAAGAAAGTGCCCTTTACAACATAAAAGTGCCCTTTACAACACAGAAAGTGCCTTTCATAACACAGAAAGCACCCTCCTTCATAACACAGGAAGTACCTTCTTCTATAACACACGCAGTTATAGTGGCAATTCCTGTATAACACAGGTCACAGTGGAACTTTCCCTGAGAAAGTGCCAGTGAGCCATAACAACTGACCTTTTACTGACAGTCCATCCAGGTCCAAGTAAGCGGCATCTGCAATGAGAAGAACTTTGGTAAGTTACCAGGGTAAAAAGACTCTTGATCCCTTAATTAGGTGCTGTATGACGTCTTCAGGTTAGCGCTTCCCAGCCTGCCTGATCCGCCAGCCTGTTGCTATTGTTTGATAAGCAAATGATATTTTATTTTAATTTGTTAAGTTAGGGTGTAATGAGCTGGCCATGCAGGGCGCTGGCAGCAACAGTCTGGTTGACCCGGAAGGCCAGTCACGTTTTAACCCTAGAACTTATGAAATTACTGTCATTGCCACAAATGCGAGGAAAATGATAATGGCAACTTTTAAATCAAAGAAAATGATAATGACAACCTTTAAATCAAGGGATGCCAAGCCAGTCATGTTCCTCTTTAAGTTACTTGTTCTCTCAAGGCTGGAATATTGCTGACAATTAGACACAAATGTAACATCTGGGTATCTTTAATGCAGACGTTTCGCCATCCAGTGGCTTTATCAATACAAATTCTAGGACATAATTTGAAGACAGTAGAACTATATACAAAAGATGAGGTAATCAGTCCCTCAGCCTTGGTGTTGGTGTGAAGAGCACCGTGGTTGTGAAGAATGTGGAGCACTGGCAAGAAGGCTGGCGCTTTTTTGCTGGAGTCACTAACGGCCCCTTTCAAGGTGGGCGAAACTGCAGATCTGGGGACTATACAGAGAGCCTTCACTGCACGTATAAGTACTTTCAAACATCTTAATTACTAGCAATGTTTGAAGTCCCTTGATCTGTGCTCCTTAAAATGCAGGCGAGAAAGATGCACTATAATTTACACCTGGAAAAATCCTAGAGGGACTGATCCCAAATCTACACACACCATAAGTGCACGGAGGGACATCACAGTAAGTGTCAGGGAGCCAAGACTATTCAACACCCTCCCGTCATACATAAATGGGATTACTAATGGACCCATATATGACTTCAAGAGGGAACTGGGCTGTGGTTCATGCGGTAAGCAGTAACAGCCTGTTTGATCAGTCCCTGATCTACCGGGAGGCCTGGTCATGGACCAAGCCCCGGGGGGGCGTTGACCCCCAAAACATCCTACAGGTAGACTCCAGGTATATCAAACGTCACTAAATTCTTTGACTATACTGACACAAGTGTTACTATATATAATGAAACGTATGTTATTCTACTCTGAATTGTATATTTTTATACTATACTGAAGTGTACGTATTTCCACACTGTACTTAGTATTCCATACTAAAATGCAACTTTTTATACTGTACTGAAAGTTGAAATGATGTTAAGAAGAGTAAGTGACAGAAATGCAGAGAAACATGTACCTGGGTGTACATGTACAATGTACACACCTTCAGTGTACGTACCTACAGATTAAATAATTCTGTATGTTTTGTATACAGATGATTTACTATCTTAATGACTCACGTCCAGTAGGTGAGTTTTAACCAAAACACATAAATTGCGTGTATATATATATATATTATATATATATATATATATATATATATATATATATATATATATATATATATATATATATATATATATATATATATATATATATATATATATATATATTCTTCCTTGAAGCCTTTTTATGCACTTCTCCGAGGCTATGGGTCCCACAATTTACACCAGAGGTGGACCCCATCCTATATTTATTAAAAAAAAAAATATAAATATATATATATATATATATATATATATATATATATATATATATATATATATATATATATATATATATATATATATATATATGTCGTGCCGAATAGGCAGAACTTGGGATCTTGGCTTAAATAGCAACGTTCATCTTGCCATATAGGACAAGTGAAAATTTGTGTATGCAATAATTTCGACAAAATCATTCTGAACCTAACGAAAAAAATATATTTCATTGTGCTTATTCATTATTAAATTATTGTAACACAGAAAACTGACCGGTAATAGGCCGGGTCGCCGCGGGGGCGTTGACCCCTGCAACATCCTCCCAGTGTTCGGGTAATGGAAAAAAAAAATGTACGCTCTGTAGAGTTGCATTCCGTCCTGTTGTACTGGGAACATGGTCAGACTCAGACCCACGTCAGGAAACACTTGTCCTGTTTCCTGACATAACTTACCTAAGCTAACCTGTGGGTCTTTGCTTTCGATTTTCACTCATTCTTAACTTTCACTCATTCTTAACTTTCACTCATTCTTAACTTTCACTCATTCCTGCATTTGCACATCCTTTCCGCCAGAGCTGTATAATCCTTGCGGATTTACTGCCTAAATTTATTATTATTAATGAAGTATTATAATTATTATTATTATTATTATTATTATTATTAATGAAGTATTATTATTATTATTATTATTATTATTATTATTATTATTATTATTATTATTATTATTATTATTATTATTATTAATGATTATTATTATTATTATTATTATTATTATTAATGAAGTATTATTATTATTACTATTATTATTATTATTATTATTATTATTATTATTATTATTATTAATTATTATTAATGAAGTATTATTATTATTATTATTATTATTATTATTATTATTATTATTATTATTAATGAAGTATTATTATTATTATTATTATTATTATTATTATTATTATTATTATTATTATTATTATTAATGAAGTATTATTATTATTATTATTATTATTATTATTATTATTATTATTATTATTATTATTATCATCATCATTCTCTACCAATCTATTACATAAGAAAAGATTGAAAACCCACTTTCATTTCTTTCTGAAGGCGGTTAAGAACAAAGAGAAAGTTTAATTTAGACAGAGGATGACGTTTCTTGTGCAAATGGAGACGAAGAGTCACAGAACTTAACACACGTCCAGACAAACTCAAAAAAAGAAATACAGATATGAGAAGAAAACACTGAGCTAAAACTGAATGTCAAGAATAACTCGAGAGAGACAAAGGAAAAAAAATCAGTGTATTTCGGATGTTCTTGAATACACTGATTTTTTTTCCTTTGTCTCTCTCGAGTTATTCTTGACATTCAGTTTTAGCTCAGTGTTTTCTTCTCATATCTGTATTTCTTTTTTTGAGTTTGTCTGGACGTGTGTTAAGTTCTGTGACTCTTCGTCTCCATTTGCACAAGAAACGTCATCCTCTGTCTAAATTAAACTTTCTCTTTGTTCTTAACCGCCTTCAGAAAGAAATGAAAGTGGGTTTTCAATCTTTTCTTATGTAATAGATTGGTAGAGAATGATAATAATAATAATAATAATAAAAATAATAATAATAATAATAATAATAATAATAATAATTTGTTAATAATAATAAATTTAGGCAATAAATCCGCAAGGATCATACAGCTCTGCCGGATAGGATGTGCAAATGCAGGAATGTGTGAAAGTTAGGAGTGAGTGAAGACTAGGGGTGTGAGGGTAGAAGTGTGCTAGGGTAGGGGTGAGAAAGGGTAGGAGTGTGCTTGGGTAGGTATGTGCAAGGATAGGGACGTGCAAGGGTAGGGATGTGCAAAGGTAGGGCCGTGCAAGGGTAGGGATGTGCAAAGGTAGGAGCGTGCAAGGGTAGGGGTGTGCGAGGGTAGGGATGCGTGATGGAAGAGGTTAGCGGAGGTGGGGGTTAGTGCAAAAGTAAAAAAAAAAATTGTACAATAGGTTAGTTCCTGATAAAAAAAAAAAAAGTCAGAGAACCTGCATCAAGAGTGGGACCTTCAGCGAGGAAGCCAGTTAGAGTAAGTGTGTTGGAGCAGTAGTGTTATCAAAAGTGAACCCTGTCTGCGTGTCTGCCTATCAAGGCAGACCAATCTGTTAACCGAGAGTGCCATCTGAGAGTCCTTACAGAGCAGTGCTGGTGGTTTCTTCATGTGGTTTCGGCTAGTGAGTTGCATATGTCCGATGTGTAAGTACGAAAGTGCCAGAATGATAGGGAACAACAACCCAGTGAGATGTAATCATCTAGTGAGGTGCAACCATCCTGTCTGGTCCACGAGTGTAAAACACAGATAGTAGTTCCTAGACAGTAGTCATCCAAACATACATTACTATCCTGTTATACAAGTGGGAAAATACAATATGTTGTTCGACAGGAGTCGTGCCCTACTAGTGTAGAACACAGACAGCAGGCGCCTAGACAGCAGTTTTACAGACAGGTACTAAGATCTTTTGTTTCTTCAACAAAGTAGTCTGGTCTTTGTGTATTGTTGTTTCTTTTTAGCGTTTATACATTTTACAGTTGGTTAGGTTTGTTTATCCAACGTTTAACTAACCTAGCTTCACCTTAGCTAACCTAACCTAACCTAACTTTACCTTATCTAACCAAACTTTACCTAACATAACATAACCTAGCCTAATCAGCCTGGCTGATCCGGCACTGACTTTAGGTATCTGTCCAGCTACCTCTTGAAGACAACCAGGGGTCTATTGGCAATTCCCCTTATGGCTGGTGGGAGGTGGGCGAACAGTCTTGGGCCTCTGACATTTATTATGCTTTCTCTTAGTGTAATAATGGTACTTCTGCTTTTCACTGGGGATATGTTGCATCACCAGCCAAGTCTTTTGCTTTCGTAGGGACAGATTTCTGTGTGCAGATTAAGGAGGAGTCCCTCTAGACGTGTGTGCAGGAAGCTGTCAAAAAAAAAAAAACGTACTTTTGACATCCCGACATGCAGTGGTTAGACATCTCGCTTCACGAGGGATGGAAGACACGACGATTCGTGCCCACATAACTCTACCTTAGATGGGTCTCGAGAGTTTTCCTTCCCCCACAGTGTCTGGTCCTGGATCAAGCTGATCTGGTGACAACCTCGCACATAAATAAGCGAGAAATTTCGGTCTCCAACGGACGAGGACTCTCGACAGTTCCTGAAGATGGTTTCATAGTGACGCGAAACTGGAAAACTAGAAGTTAGAGATGCGGTGTAAATCACAAACATCTCTAAGCCTTGCAAATACGGGATTGCATGTTAGATTAATTAGCACCTGGCAACACCACTCACAATGACGGATCATAATGT